AAATTCACCGTTTATCAAGTCATTAATTATAAAAACGTTATTCCTTGAAACAATAATAACCGAAGGAAATACTACAAATGTTTAAGATTTATCGGTGACTTGACATTTCGTTGAGGTTTCCTACAGCAGTTGGGATCACATATCAAATCACGAAGACAAAACAGAGCAGGTGTGTACTAAACAGAGAATGCTAAATTAATACTTTTGGAAGTTATTTTTTTTTTTTTAATGCAGCAAAATACGACTTAAATATGAAAAAAAACTAATACTCATGCCACCCGACAAACCCACGGCAATCGAAATACGGAATGACCGCCTCTTGTAAGGCCGTTCAAGGTTGTTGAAACGAAACGGCGGACAGCTTTGAAAGGCTCTGACGTTTTTCCTGTGCCTGGCACAAATCACAAATCTATAAACACACCGAGCGAATTTGAAGCAGAGAAGAAAACGTGTGTGTGTGTGAGTGAGCAAATACAGAGGCGAATTTATAGTCAAAAACAAATAAGGCTAACAGTAGGATTCGAGTACATATATGCATGGGGAAGAGAATGATTTATTGAGCGATATTTAAGCTATCAGCACTTTAGCTAGAAAGAGATATGTGCGTAAGCCATTATGTGATTAAGCGTACACGTTTATACGGATAAGATAGTGATCATAATAGTACAAAGTAATAGACAAGTTGCTACTTCTCGAATAACATTGTCTGTTAATCAAGTTAATAAAAAGGCTTAACCAAAATCAATCATAATCGGAATCGAGTGTAGGATAGTTGCTATAGTACTTTATGGTACGTAAAGTGTTATTTATTTCATCAATACGATATGAGTTACTCAATGTTTAGTTGATTTCAAATAGTCACAATGAATAGTTACCCTAATACAAAATCATATGACTGGTAAAATGAAAGTCCACGAAGTTATCATGTACCACCGACTTCATATTTAGTTTTATTTTCAAAAAAGAAAGCATTTTTGACTAGATCTATATTTTAAAAACGCTTTCTCAATTATACTTACCTTTGAGTAATTACTATACTAAACATTGATATTATCTCTTACTATTGTAGGCAGATGTATGGTTAAAGAACACAAAACAATTAAATTGGAAACAACTGTAAACGATTTGTTTCATTTTGACTCTGTTATATTTCTTTTTTCATGTATCGAAATGTAATATATGTCCAGAAACAAAAGTAACGAAATCTAGGATGGAATATTTCCATATTGAACATATTCTAGAACGTTCACAATAATTTCCTCCGAAGGTCGCTGAGATACAGGTCGAATCACAAAATATCTTTGAGCTATTAGTAAATAATGTTTTGATTAAGATAAGTTGTCCAAACAATGAAAACCTTTTGATAGTGGTTATCTATATGGTCTAAAATTTCTGGTTTCTTTGGATAGATCTTAATTCATTAACGACTGAGCGACCTTCAACTGCTTATAACATTTAATCATGTTTCTTTTCGTATCTGATATTTTATTTTAGTTAAGTGATTTATTATTATTTTCACACCAGTTCAATCGAAGAGTTTAGGTAATAAATCTTTCAGGTGAGTAGTCATTAATGGACACATTATCTATCGATAGAATCCTACTCACTTGTTCGTCCATTCATTTACAAATCGAATCTTCAAAACTTCTTCACCATGACAATTCTTGGAATTAAAGTCATGCACAAGCCACATGTTATTGTTATGACATTTTCTAAATTCTATAATTCAGTACGCTATGAATTCATAGTAGATGGTAAGTATGGATATAAACTATTCAACATATCAACATCTTTGCATATTCTGATATTTATTGTTTATCAGTCTGTTTTACATCTTTTTAAATCTGTTTGTATTCCATAAACTTTATTCAAATAGTAACCAAGTCAATTACAATTAATGATTTTTTTAAATACAAATTTCCTACTTTTTATTGTTAATTAAAAGTTTTATTGCTGGATATCTTAATCCTGGTACTGTCGACAGATATGTAACATCAAACAGAAGTGAAAAACCTGACAGCAGAAGGCTAAGAAGATTGAATTGAACAGAATTGAAAGGGAAACAGAAAGGAATTATGAACTGGAAGAATCATAAAGAATATAAAGGAAAAATGATGGAGATTTGAAAATGAAATATTAAGTGTATGGTTCTTATATTTTACCAAGATATTTTGTAATGTTGTATGCGACAATAGATTGGTTGACTACACTTGAGTTCTCGTTGATTAAGGTACATAACACATGACTTTCGTTCTATTGTTAAAATCGAATACACTTGTAAAGTCGATTATTCTGTTTTACTATACAGTGAATATCAAAAACAAATCAATAACCCAGTTAACTAAGATGCTTTTTCTTAAGGAGTATGTTAGTGATAAAACTGATTTCAAATCTAACATTAGTTCAATGTGATCACAGTGTTCTACACTGTACATACCACTGTCTAGCTTACGCTAAACTACAAAAAAATAGGTGTTTCTTTCTATATCGAACATCTGATGACGAAGTAAAATTAACAAAAACGGCGTCAAGATCATGGAGAGATAAACTATTAAGTGCAGAGTTTCAGTCTAAAATGTCCAAACTTCAAGGAATAAATTCCTAATTGCTTCTCTGTGCATCGAAATCAGATCGGGAATAAAGTGCTTTCGGGTTTTCAATAGTAGTCTAACTTAGATCGACTCATAAATTCAACTTTTAAAATTACTACAATCTCCACAAATCTCCATTCTGATAATGGATAAAGATGTTTGAACCTGTGAAATAATGTTTGATAGTCAAACTATTTAGTCACTAAATCACTATTTCATTGATTGATTTCAATGTTCGAACCCGACCAGTCATTCCTGAAATATGTTAACTTGTATGAAAATATACGATAATTGATACAAAATCACAAGTTGATTATATTTGACAATAATTATAGAATTCAAATCAATAGTATAATTATAACCTGGTCAACTGATTAGACTTTAGGAAAATAAATCGTAAATTTAATTTAGTTCTTAATGATTACTCAATTCATAATAGGCTTTTATAGTAAAACCTATTAGTCTATTAATGACAATCAGTCTAGATTGTTTATCAAAATATCAGCTTACTGCTATATCATGAAAATATAATATGTAAATGTAATTACATAATATATTATTCAATTGATTTAACGAATAGCATCATTGAATTTATTTTTCCTGGTTAGCGTTTTTTTTAGCGAGTTAAAAGTTCCCTCTTTCTTCTAGTGGTCGACTGGATTATGACGACCTCGACATCTGAGGGAAAACACGGAATACAATGAACAGCTTATAACTAATTAGACGATTTGGATTTCGCAGATGACCTAGCTCTCCTGTCCGATACATAAGAACAAATACAGATAAAAACAAATCGTGTAGCAGCAGTCTCTACATCAGTAGGCCTCAACATACACAATAAGAAAACCAAGGTCCTCCAACACAACACGGAGAACAGCAATCCAATCACACTTGATGGTGAAACTCTGGAAGCTGTGGAATCCTTCATGTACGTGGGAAACATCATCGATGAACAAGGAGGATCAGATGTAGACGTAAAGGCGAGCATTGGCATAGCAAAGATAGCATTCCTACAGCTGACGAATACATGGATCTCAAAACAACTTTCAATCAATACCAAAGTCAGAATCTCCGATGCGAACGTCAAGACAGTTCTATTATACAGAACTGAAACTTGGAGAACTGCTGCAACCATCATCAAGAATTTACAGATATTTATAAATAGTTGTCTACGCAAGATGGCCGGATACCATCGGCAACAGCCTTTTTTGGGAGAAAACAAACCAGCTTCCAGTTGAAGAAGAAATTAGGAAAAGACGATGGAAATGGATAGGTCATACATTACACAAATCATCAAACTGCAAGTAATTAAGTAAGTAATCATTGAATTTGAGTAAAAAAGGAGAGAAACTACTTTTCATATTCGCTATTACGTTCATATTTAATACAAATAATTCGTTTCAACAGTTAAATTCACTAGTCAATCTAGTCTGGATCATCCGTGAAAAACTGGATAGCCGTTTTATTCTAGTATGAAACTCCTCAGAATCGCGCATTCAGAACTCCTCACACAGGACTCAAATTCATGATGCACACTACTGAGAAGTCATATACTAGGATGAAACGATCATCTAGTACTTCTAGATTTTCATTAGTGATCTAGCTTAGATTGACTTGTGAATATAACTGTTAATTTATTATTTATTTGAACACATAAATATTGGTACAAGAGGGCACCAAATATATATGCGCCACACAGAGTCTTCAGTAAATACCATCATTTTCATTATCATTATTATGTTTGTGTGTGGGCTGTGATACTGCTCGGGTGCCCAAACCGAAGCAGGTGATTTTCTTAGGGGGCCATACTCGTGGCTTTCGACCTGAAGGTCTGATCCACAAGGCAGTGGAGCAACGTAAGGAGATGCAATCCCATGGTAGCCGGTGACCAACGATTGGTTGATACGCCATTTGTTCCTTCAGAATGCTGGAGCCCATGAGCACCATTGGCTTGGGATCCGGTTAGAGCGCCGGACATTCGGTTTTCGCCCTCTTATTTTCGTAAACAACACTTGTGGTGCGAGAAGGCAGTGAGTAGGACTTCCCTGACGGAGACCGTATACGCGTGGCTATATGGGAGCATTTAGAGGGATAGCGGACTCTCCCCACTCTCGGCCATACCAGGGCATTTGAGGATAATTAATTATTAAAAATTATATAATTTTATTATAAATTCAATCTTTCAATTCATCTAAATACAGAGATATGTATTTATAAGTTTATACTGAATATATGAAAATTGAATAAAGTATGTAATAAAAGGAATTTACTACAATTTATAGAATGCAAATATTACAACAACAAAAAGCCAAACCAAACAATGAAACTTAATTAAACAAACAAACAAACAAACAATGAAACCTTTTTTTTATAAATTACTATTTCTCAATATTTTTGGTTTTTGTTGTTTTATAATGGTGTAAATTCATGTGTTATACCAACAATAGTATGTCTATGTGATTTAATAAGACGATCATTACGTGGTTGATATTTAATAGTAAGTACATTTGATCGTTTATTATTACCATAGAATTTATTACCTTTAAATAATGCTGTTATTTCTTCTTGTTTATTTGAATTAATACGAGATAATTTATCACGTTTCATTTGATTTAATGTTACTAACCAATTCGGTGTTTTCTCTTCTAAACTTAATGAACGTTTAATTCGTTTTATATTATTATTATTATTATCAGTTAATACATTTTTCAATATTTCATCAGCTCCGGTTACACTTGAAGAACGTTGTTTTTCTATATTTCTTGAAATTCTTCTTGTTAATTGATTATTTATGATTGATAATTTACAATTTGATTCAAATACATCATCTTCATTATGATTAGATTCTAATTTATTATCAATATTCATATTTTTACATGTTAATGCAGCTAATAATGTATCTTCATCAGATGGTACACCTAATGAACGTAATCTTAACCAAAATGGTTGATTTAAATGATCATTATCATGAATATTATCTTGTGAATTCAAATCATAATATGAATGTACATGATCATTAATTGTTATAGAATGTTGTTGCTGTGGTGATGGTTGTTGTTGTGGTGGTTGTTGTTTAAATTTTTTAAAATCTAATATGATATTATCATTTTTTAATAATTTACATGGTAATTCATCTAATGATAAATTAAAATTTGTTTCAGAAAATCTTCTAGTAAATTGTAAACGTTGTATATCAAGTTGTTTACAGATTTTATTTTGTTCTTTCATTAAACGATTATAATTTAATTGAAATTTACGATCTTCAATTTCTTGTAAGATTTTTAATCGTTTAATTTTATGTTGATTAGATGTATAAGATGATGATGATGGTGTTGCTGTTGTTGAGGATGATGATGATGGGATTATTGAATGTTTGTCTGAATTATTTGTAGTATCCATTGTATTCATTTAATTGATTGTTTTATTTATCATTTTATATAATGAAATCAAATGATTAAATATGAAAGAAATATTTAATGATTTTATATATATACATATATATTTCTAATATTCTAATTGGTTTGGAGATAAGTATTCGTGCCTGGACTGTGAACTTTGCATATAAATAAAGAGGTTTCCATAATTACATGTACACAACAACATATGTTTATCGATTTGTGTCCTAAATGAAACTTGACAAAGTTAATTTCGATATAGAGACTATAAAATGTCTGAAGAATGTAATTCTATTCTTAAAAATAAAAAAAAATACGAAGAACCGTAGGGTGGAGAATAACTTATTTGTATATACATTGTAGAATAGTAAAGAAATGCTAATTCGATCATTGTTTATGCTTGTTTTCTTTTCACATTTTCTGTGGAAAACGTATGCAGAATATAATCAAAGGCATTATAAACTCGGTCAACATAGTCTAAGTACTTTGAATCATGTGAATGACGTTTTGCACAATAGAAAAAAACAATAATAATAATAGTGTTATATTACAAATAAAAATATTGAAATTTAGTCGACTAATCCAATGAATAGCAAATTGTTCTTTAAAAAGATCTAAATATATATGAAAACGCTTGATATTATTTACTTGAATCTTCTTGTTGATATTCAGGACTGCAAGTGATCAATCACTTATTGGCATATGTGCATACAATGCTGATTATCGTCTCTATATTACCGTAATTCACAAGCATTTTAAGCAAAGATGGATAATGGCTGGCAATAGAATTCAGGACACGCGTTTTCTTCCTATTTGAGGCTGGTCAGCTCAATATATCGGCATCTTACAATTGATGTTCACTCAGGACTCAGTAACTAAGCATTTTTCATGTACATTGGGAACAACGAGGGAAGAATGATGGGGTTAACCATAGTGTAATAGGAAAGAATTGAAAATCGTTTGATGAGAACCTTAATCAAATGAATTAGTTGAAACACACATTACCTGTGCCTAAACACCGTATACCTCAACGGGCGATGTTATCTGGTGTATGGTTGGGGTGGAAGAAAGCTAGGGGTGGTTGAATCATAACATAGGATCAGTCCATCAAGTAATTGAATTCCTGACTAGTGTATTTTCCCTTCATACGAAATAATATACTTCCTTGGGAGATTATCCCTGAAGTACTTGTAGTGTTTAAAAGAATATCATACATAATGGGAGGCTAAAATCGACTCGCACGTCACCGTAGTGCTCTTCGGTTAGTGGGGGACGTTTTTCCAATGAGCTAATGCGAGCGTCAAGGTGGAGATCGGGCTAATCACCCACTCTGTATCATATATGGGTTGAAGGAAAATAAGTTTAGTTGAGATAAATGTGATATTAAAAGGAAAAGAGAAATTCCCTCTTGTTCTGTGTCAAGATTATCTCTGAATAGAACCAATAGGTCTCGTTGGGGTGGCGGAGCGTGGACCGCAAACTGTGCCATAACCAGTGCGCAGGGGTTGACATCAAACTTGTTTGTGTGATGAGAATGAAGGGGGGATATCGTATGTGACGACTTATTTTCGAATTGATTTGATTACCTGTTATTCATTTAGTGTTGGAGGCAGCTGGGCTACGGCCTGGAGTGATCGCATTCATGGGTCTCGGCCTGTACACCCTATATGCATGTGACGTATACTTGCGAGCGGAAGCTTCTATACCAATATGTACTTATGGAGAGTATAGACCTGTCTAAGCATTCTGTGACTACATGTGACGCATACTGGCGATCACGGTCATTTATGCCTGTGTATACCACTGGAATGTACATATATCTGATATGTGCATTTCATATATACATATACAATATACTTAGGAGAGAGTTCCACATTCTATAACGGCGCATTCATTAATAGCTCATCAGCGCTTTTGGTTTGCATAAAAGTTTCTGCATATGGTACGGAAGTGAAATTATCCTAGAGATAGACTGTATTGTTTGTCTATTCTGCCCGTGATAGACCGTAGTGAATCCATCTGCCGCACATGAATATAAGTAGACCGCAACGAATGTCTGCTTGTATGCATAAAACAGACTACTGTGTCCATCTGCTTCATCAGTATAGTCAAATCGAAATATCTCTTTCCGTTCATTAGTTCTTTTCTTTAAACTTTTACATTTCTTTATACAAGTTCTTTTTTCACGGCGACAAGTCAATCTGGTTTCCTCGTTAATGGAGTGAACTGTAAAGGACAAATGATTTCCATTTATAAGTTAAATTTGAACTTATCTGTATTCTTAGTGGAAAAAACTTTATTTATGACTTCTAGTTAAGTTTAGTCTAAATTGTTCACAGCAATTGTATTCAAATCCAGAGTTTATTTATTTGAACACATAGATATTGGTACAAGAAGGCACCAAATACATATGCGCCACACAAATCTCATTTGATATATGTGAGGGCTGTGATACTGCTCGGGTGCCCAAACCGAAGCAGGTGATTTTCTTAGGGGGCCACACTCGTGGCTTTCGACCTGAAGGTCTGATCCACAAGGCAGTGGAGCAACGTGTATACAACCACTGCCAGGGAAGTCCTACTCACTGCCTTGTCGTGGCGGGGGTGTTGTTTAGAAAATTGAGAAGACGAAAAGCGAATGTCCAGCGCTTTAGCCGGATTCCAAACCAATGGTGGATATGGGCTCCAGCATTCTGAAGGAACAAATGGCGTATCAACCAATCGTTGGTCACCGGCTAACATGAGACTGCATCTCCTTACGTTGCTCCACTGCCTTGTGGATCAGACCTTCAGGTCGAAAGCCACGAGTGTGGCCCCCTAAGAAAATCACCTGCTTCGTTTTGGGCACCCGAGCAGTATCACAGCCTTCACATATATCAAATGAGATTTGTGTGGCGCATATGTATTTGGTGCCTTCTTGTACCAATATCTATGTGTTCAAATAAAAAAAATAAAAAGAATCTATGAGACAGTATAATTGTTTTAAATTCACTTAGTATTGTTTATTTGAATCTTCCCACTGAGGTTTAAGACTACAATTGATCAGTCTGTTATTGGCGTATGTGCATACTGTGCGTATTGTCTTGATATAGCCTTAATTCACAAGCGTTATATACAAAGATGGATAGTGGCTAGCAATAGAATCCAGGACACACGTTCCGTCAACTGGATGCACCTACACCTCAAAGTTGATATTCATTTTGGGACTAATTATCTAAGCAACCTTATTTAATAAAATATCTAAAAATTTGGCAATAAATAACAGTTACATTCTTTTTTATAAAAAAATATAATCTAACCACACATTTAATAATATATTTCTTTTGTTATATTCTAATGAGTTACTCTGAAGAAGTGGCTTATATTAAGTCACTAAATGTCACAAATACAATTTATCTACTCATTGGGATGTAAAAAACAAAAAATAAGAATATTTATTATTAACTTTCCACCTAATGTTCTCTTTATTGGAAACGATCAAGTCCAATCTTGGCATTGATACCTATGATATAATTTAGTTACAAAAGTACACAACGTAATCAATAAACGAAAATGTTTTACAATGAAAACTATTTATTAATTATTATATCCTGATAAACATTTTTTACAATGAAAAAAAAGGAAACACGTACAAGCATTACAAAAAAAAAGAAGAAAAAATAAAATGAACATACCACTAAAGCCGACAAAAACGAAGAGAGAGATACATAGATACATATAGACAAAATATCAGTTTGGTATAGAAAAATAATGTAGAAACAAAACAGGATAAGACAAGACAATCTATTCCGAGTGATCATCTACCAATAGAAACATATACATATAATTTGAATTACTTTTTGAAAAAAAAAGTTATTGTGTTAACACAGATACTATTTTGTGTAAACTTTAGAAAATGATTATGTAATCAAAGAAAATATGATTTAGTTAAAAATTCTTTAGTGGATGGACGAAGGAACAATGATATTCGGTCGAAATAATGTAAAAACCTGTTCAAAAAAAAGAAGACAGAGAGAAAGGGAATAGAAAAAGGATATTTGAATGTGTTACTTTTAAAAAAACAAAAAAAATTTATACAGTGTCTAATGAATTTGGAAAAAAGGTGTATAAATACTTCACGTTTTTTTAAACCTTTTAGTCAACAGTTTTCTTCCTCTTGATGAAATAATTTAGATAAGCACTTACTGTTATGTCTTTATAGACGATTAATTAGATCACGTGATACGATCGTCAATTAGAGGCACTGACCGATACGACTAAACCAATAATGAATAAACCTATAAGAGTAGCCTAGTCCTCCGAGATTATAGTTTCTCTCTTAAAGCAGCCGGTTCAGTTCAGAACATCAAGATCAGCCTCCGCTATATGAATCACATATTTCGGACATACTGGGGTTTTTATATAAACAAATCAAACCACATCATATCATAAATAGAAAATAGAAAATATACAAGATCAGGCCAAAATGTGGCTGTGATTGTGAAAGACTGTAAATAATAAATTCGGAATATTTTAAGAATAGTAAATCGAATGATAATAGTCGATATCTATATGATTTTTGATGATTAATTTTATCAAATGATTATTTTATTTTGAATTGTAAGTTAAAATCTTTATTTTTCTGTTTTGAGTTAGTGAACAAGCTTATTGAGAAACACTGAAGGTGTAGTGACTCTATGGTTAAGGTGTTCGGTTTTCATCCAGTAAATATCATGTTTGGACATTACAATCCACATAAATCGGTTTGGGCAAGCATGTAGTATCATTAACCCTAACACTTAATGTGGTTCTAAGCCAAATAACAGTAATTATTTGCATTTAGATATTTAACACAGAATATAACATTCAGTCTCGTGTGCTGTTACGAGAATAAGGGCTGATATCACTTCTCGGCTACCCACACCGTGGAAGGGAATTTTTGAAGAACCTGAAAAGGAAGTCGGATTAATGTTGGTCTTAACGACCTGGGAGTGTAACCGCAGAGCCCAAGGGACAACTGCTTGAG